TCAAATTTACTCTGAATTTGCATATGAGCATTTAGCTGCTGGCCTTATTTTGGCTGATGATATTGAACTTCTCTATCATCTCTTCCCACTCATGTACTCTGATTCTTCTGTGTTCTGTATGGTCAGATCCACATTTATAGCTGCTGTTTATGTTATTGAAAAGGGATTCTCGATTCTGTTCTATTGATCTATGTACCTTTCATTGTACCAGTACCAAGCTTTTTTTTTTTTTTTTTTTTTTTTTTTATGTGTTATAATATGGAATAGAGGGATGGAAGAAAAAAAATTCATATATACAAAGGTAAGTTCAACAGTACTGCTACTAGGGTTCCAGTTTATACATGCACTGGTTTATGCCACACTGAACAGGTCTACAAATCAGTGGATGGCTATAGACAAGTTCTTTAGTAATAGGGATTCATAAAGTTTGTGGAGAATGGCTTTCTATCTCCTCGTGCTTTGGTTAGGTGCCATTGAGTCAGTTGCAGCTCATAGTGACCCTGTACACAACAGAACGAAATTCTACCCAGTCCTGTGCCATCCTCACAATTGTTTTGTTTGAAGCCATTGTTGCTGCCACTGTGTCAGTACATCTCGTTGGGGGTCTTCTTCTTTTTTGCTGACACCCCACTTTACCAACATGATATCTTTCTCCAGGGGCTGGTCCCTTCTTACAACCTGTCCAAAGAATGAGAGTCGAAGTCTCATCATCTTCATTTCCAAAGAGAATTCTGGTTGTACTTTTTCTGACACAGATTTGTTCTTCTGGCAGACCATGGTATTTCTAACATTCCTCTCCAACACCATTATTCAAATGCATTGCTTCTTTTACAACCTTCCTGATTCATTGTCCAACTTTCTCATGCATATGAGTGAGGCGACTGAAAATACCATGGCTTGGGTCCAGTGTGCCTTGGTCCTCAAACTGACATTTTCACTCTTTAACATTTAAATTGATCTTTTATAGCAGATTTGCTTAGTGCAATATGTCTCTTGATTTTTTTTACTGCTGTTTCCATGAGCATTGATTATGGATCTAAGCAAAATGAACTCTTTGACAACTTCAATCTTTTCATCGTTTATCATGTTGTTATTTATTCTTCCAGTTGTGAGGAATTTATTAATTTTGTCTATGCTACCTAGTTTGTTGACAACAGTAATATTTCCTTTCTAAATTATCAGTAAATTCTTGATTTGGGTAATTTGTGTCTTCTTGCCATTTGATCTTGGTCAATAGAGTTTTATTGATTTTTTTTTTTTTTTTT